TCACTCACTGCGAACGACAAGGAATGTGGTGTTGAAATAGATAAACAAGCTATCATAACTGACATTGAGGAAACAATTTGACTCTTATAAGATCTCTCCTCGCAGAAAAGCCGGTCAAATTTCATGTTCTACAAGGCACTATTGCGGGTGTGTGGCGTCCTCGCAAAGGAGTCCATATCACCGACCTTAAGTATAATTGTTTCTTGTTCTAGTTCTGCCATGAGATTGATATTGCCAGAGTCCTTGAGGATAGTCCATGTCTTTTGAACAAAACCTTCTCCTTTTCCAGAGGTTGGGATAGCACCCTCTTGATGTCCAGCTGAATAGCATAGACTTTTGGGTTCAAGTCCATAACCTCCCTGCTAGATTCTTCTCTGAAAATATGGCGAAATCCATTGGTAATTTCGTAGGTAGTTTTGTTAAAGTTGACCATCGTAACTTTGAAGGAGGTTGGAAAACCTTCATGCGGATTCGTATTTCATTGAACATTAGCAAACCACTGAAAAGGGAGATGAATCTCAAACGGCCTGGGGGCGAATGGTTGTAGGTGGATTTCAAGTATGAAAGGCTACCAAGCTTCTGTTTCATCTACGACATCATGGGTCACACTGGTCGTTTTTGCCCGAAACTCTTTAAAGGTTTTCAATATGATTCTGAGAAATTGTTCAGAAGCTGGCTAAGGGCCACTGGTCGGCGAGTTCACTCAGGGCCAGGGCAGAGGTGGCTAATCGGAGATGGAGACAACTGACCGGGGTTGAAGAGTACAGTTCCATTGTCAACTACTGGGCAACCGTACGAAGACTATAAAAGTGCGGAGATGGAGACAACTGGCCGGGTTTGAAAGTACGATTCCTTTGTCGGCTACTGGGCAACCGTACGAAGACTATAAAAGTGCAGGAGGTGGTCTGAATGGTACAGGTTTAACGGCTGGGTTTAAGGATGGCAGTGGGATCATGGAGCATGATGGATAGTCTTCACAAATGTCAATCGATCACCCCATTTCTGATGATAGTGTCTTTCGTGCTAAAGGTGGGATTATTACTCTGGGTTACCCTCTTTCACAGGCCTATTATAAAGATACTAAGGAGATTGGGCTTATTGTAGTGGATCAAAATAGGATGAGAACTGTTGAGGAAAACCAAACCCAGGCTTCCCCTTTTCTTGATCTTTTTGGTGATCCAAAAAATGTGTTTCAGGCGGGCCTTGCCTAGCAAGCTCGCCCAACCCAATGAGTATCCTAAGTTGGAATTGTCATCGGTTGGCAACCTCGCAACAATTTGAGTTTTAGTGGACCTAGTCCACTCTACAAAGCCTGCTACAGTCTTCTTAATGGAGACGTTGGTAAACAAAAGTAAACTCGATTCAATAAAACACAATTTGAATCTTTCTGGTCTTCTTCCTGTGGACAACACTAGTCACAGCGGTGGTATTGCTCTACTTTGGAGAGAGGGCGTCGAAGTAAACATCACTTCCTTCCCCACTCACCATATTAACGCTACGGTTAAACTGGAGGGTTCGAATATCAACTGGAGGCTAACTGGATTCTACGACTGTCCAGAGAGGTCTAGACGCAAGGAATCCTAACACTGTCTTCGTGCATTTGCTCAAGGTAATTCTCGTCCTTGGGCTATTTTGGGAGATTTCAACGACTTACTATCATTAGATGATAAAAAGGGAGGGTTCCCCACCCACAACGGTTATTGAGAGGATTCCAATAGGCCATTGATGAATGTGGACTTAGGGATCATGTTATGCGTGGCTATGATCTCTGAACAAAAGAGATTAGGAATTATTCGGGGAATCCAAATCTGTAAAAAGGCCCCCCTATCTCTCATCTTTATTCGAGGAATCCAAATCTGTAAAAAGACCCCTCCTATTTGTCATCTCTTTTTTGCTGATGATGCTTATTTATTCTTTCTATCTACAGAACCAGCTTGTTAAATAATTAGGAACATCCTCTCGAAGTATGCTGCTGCCTCGGGACAAATTATCAATTTTGATAAATCCTTCATTGTCTTCAGCCCTAACACCCCAAATAATGAGGAATTCCTGTTCATTGGTACTCTAGGGGTTCAACGAGGGTCTAATGGAGGCCATTACCTAGGTTTGCCTTCACTCATTGGGAAGAGGAAAAAGGAAATTCTTAGCTTTATCAAGAGCAGAATTAAAAGTTGGAACAACAATTTTCTTTCAAAAGCTGGAAAAGAGGTTCTTCTCAAATCTATCATACATGCTATTCCCACTTATACGATGAGTGTTTTCCTTCTTCCTCTTGGGCTCTGTGAGGAAATGAATTCCATCATGAATGCTTACTGGTGAGGAACATTAGAGAAAGGACGGAAAGGTATCTGATGGCAATCTTGGAGTAGAATGTGTGTTCCTAAGCGTATGGGAAGACTGGGATTTCGCAAGATGAAAGAATTTAATTTAGCTATGATTAGAAAACAAGCGTAGAAACTCCTCAAATTCCCTGATTCTTTGGCTGCTAAAGTTCTCAAGGCAAGGTACTTTCCTCGTACTACTTTCCTTGAAGCTTCTTTGGGTAATAACCCTTCTTTTGTGTGAAGGGGCATTTGGGAACCTCAAAATATCTTAAAGAATGGTATCTGTTGGAGGGTGGGTGACGGGAAATCAATCAATATCTGGAGAGATTCATGGATTCCTAACACTGCAGATGGAAGACCTACTGCCCCTTCTTATCCTGAATTAGATGATACTACTGTGGCTTCTTTAATGAAGGTCAATGTGCTATAAAGGTCAATGTGCTAGAATGGGAAGAGGACACCCTCTCTAATCTTTTTACTCCCGATGATAGCCTTAACATCTGAATATCCATCTATCCACTGTTCCAGTTAAAGATGAGATTTATTATAGATGGGACGAGAAAGGGAATACTCTGTCTGTAGTAGCTATAGAGCTCAAATCACTGAATTTGGCAACTCCACCGTAGCTAGCTGGACTTCTGTTTGGAATCTCGATATCCTCCCAAAAGTCAAACACTTCTTCTGGCGCTCTTGCAAAAATTGTATCCCGACTACTGCGGCTCTGAGAGCAAGAATGGTAAACTGTCCAGTTGGGTGAATTCATGGTGATGCTACTTATGAGGATTCTCTTCACACCTTCACCCAATGTTCTTTCGCCACTAAGTGTTGGTCAATCATGGGGCTTAACTTATACGAAGTATATGAATGCTTTTGATAATTTTGCAAAATGGGCCTCTATCAAGAACTTGGGTATGGAGAACAAATGCCTTCTTGTCATGATGTGCTGGGTATTTGGGAAAGCATAAATAAGAAGCTTTAGAACGGTACTTCTACCTCTCCTCTAACTATTATCCAGAAAGTTAAAGCATTACTCTACAACTGGAGAGAAGCTCAACATCCTCCCTACCACCGTCTCTTGCCAGTCCTGATAGATGGTGTAAACCTCCACCCGGTTGATTCAAAGCTAATGTCGATGCAACCTTTGATTACAGTAGTAACAAGATGGGGTTGCGTGTTGTGATCAGAAGTGAAGCTGGGGATTTTGTGGTTGCTACCCGTGGAGAGGTAAGATGCTGCCAAAGGAAGGTGAGGCCATTGGTATCAAAGAGGCTCTTGCTTGGATCAAAGATTTAGGGATCAACTTCTTGCAAGTGGAGTCTGATGCCAAACAAGTCATTGACGATATCAAACATCATCCTGGCTATGCTCCTGCTGCTATTCTCATTGATAATATCAAACTCATGTTGAGAAATTTCTTAGATGTGTCCTTCTCTTTTGTTAAGCGTTCAGTGAATTCAATAGCTCATGGCCTTGCTAAGATCGTTGTATCCCTATTTGAATGCAAAGTTTGGTTAGACTTTCCTCCCGCTATCATTTTGGATAGTTTGGAATTTGATTTGAATTAATGATATTTCTCCTTTCTCTTAAAAAAAATAAAAAACCTCTCACTTTTTGGATTTTAAAAGTTAGATGTAAATAGTTGTTAGATATATAAAAACAATCACTTTGAGAATACCTAAGGAAAAACAAAAACAAAAACAAAACAAAAAAAAACAAAAACAAAAACAAAACAAACAAAAAAAAAACAAACAAAAAAAACAAACAAACAAAAAAAACAAAACAAAAAAAAAAATGCACCTATAATTGAATGGAAAAATAAGCTATAAAAGTTGCACCTTTCAATAATAAGCTATATCACTATAACTTAGACAAAAAAGTGTCATTTTGCCAATTTAATTTATTTAGTTATAGTGAATTTCATTTGGGACAAATTTCTAGAACTGTGACTAACTGTTACCATTAGTGTTGCCCTAGTAAAGAAAAATTTTCACGTTTAGTCCCCTTACTATTATACATGAATCACATTAGTCCTTGATTTTTTCTATTTAGGTGCATGTCTATATAATTTGTATCACATTTGGTCCTGCTTATTCCCGAAAGTACTCCTTTGGTCCTGCCATCTAATTTTCTAACCAATTATTCCCGAAAGTACTCCTTTCGGGAGGAGCATTGCATTTGCTTCTTCCCAAAGGAGCACTGCATTTGCTTTTTCTGGAAGGAGCACTTCCGGCAATAGTTGGCCAAGAAATTAGACGGTAGGACCAAATGTGATACAAATTACATAGTCATACACCTAATTAGAAAATTTAAATAATCAATAACCAAATATTATTCATGTATAATAGTTAGAGGACCAAAAGTGAAATTTACAATAAAACCAAGTAAAAATAATGGAAAAAATATAGTCTGTTTAACCTAAAATAAAATTTAAGAGATAATGATTTGTTATCTTCCTGTCTTCCTGACAAAGTAGTATTTAAGATGATAAAATGATGATTTTCCTTTTCTTCCTACCAAAGTAGAATTTAAGATGATGATGATAATGCACCTAAGAACAGAACAACAGCTGACCAAGTAGGAAAACAACAGGCTGGCTGAACTACGTACCTCATAGATCTAGCAGCATAAACTGACCGGGAAACAACGAACTCAAATTAACCGACCCAAGCCTTTAGGTGGAATAATAGTAAATCAGCGTCAATGAACTTGTCCATAAATGATTATATAATCAAACTACTTAGAGAAACAAATAACAAGAACAAAATTTTTTTCATGTTGTATCAATATAACAAGCATGAACAGGGAAGAAATAAGTAGTTCATTTTCATCTCACTGACCAAGTATGCTGCCAAAAGCCAAAGCATATACACTACATGCATGCATGCATGCAAGAAAGAGGTATGGTAGAGTATTTGCAACAAAATAGCCAAAGCTCCAACCCCTGTACCAAAAGCATGAGCATGGTTAGACCCTGGGAGAGTAAACTGATTATATGACTGATGACACCCTCTCAAGTATTATTAGCATCTCCATGTCATCGTGATATCTTTCTGTGAGAGACATCAACTTCAATTTCTCACCTATGAACCAGGAAAGGTAAGTTTGTCAAAACACACAAACACACACAATATGTTGAAGACTAGATACATCATAAATCAATATGATGATTGCCTAAAAAAAAGGATTATGTAAGTCATGTCCAATTGAATGTTATTTCAACGTCAATAAGTGAGAACATACATCAGGGAAGAATACTAACCTCAGCACTTATTTCCTTGTTTTATCATAAACTTCAATATACCTCTTTAAGATGCCATATTGTTCCACCAAATATCTTGCAACATCATCAATAACACCACCTTGTACAAGAACTTCTAGACCCTTTTTACCTAGATTAGCAAGGGGAATAAGATAATCAAAACATAGCAAATGATGCCACCTCTACCCAACCAAAAAGCATAGCAGCAATTTTCACCAATCTTACAAACAAGGCACACACATTTACATATCATGGAATGCCACCCCCACCGCCTTTTTTTCCCTGGCACATGTGTGCTCATGCCCACGCGCACACACGACTAAAATGCATGCACGTCACCAGAACTTGAAGGAAATTAAATCATAAAGCCCTAAACTTTAAAATGTGTGATAACCAATGGACACTTCATTGATAACCACAATGTCCATCTAAAATCTAAATAGTAGGGGAGTGTGTCTTAATGGCAAACCAGTTACCTGTTGAGGGTAGTCCAACCGTCTCGAGGGAGCTATAAATACACGGATAGCATTAGAAAGAAAGATCCTAACTCGACTATTGTAGCAATATTATAGCAAATTCCTTCACGAATAATACTATCTCTTCTTATTATTTTCAACTATTTTCCCAACAAGTAAATTATATACCATCATTTGGCGTCATCTGTGGAGATCTAGATTAAAAGTTCATGGTTCTATCAATTATTCACCAAATATCTATTAACCATAAAGGCAATCACACAACTCAATGGCTAGATCAACTAGTGCACGGTCACAAGAAACCTATCCGTGACTTGCACAAACTTAGCCAATGCCAAGGATCTCGAGGCAATAAACCCATTTGTGACTTGTGCAAGTGGCTTAGCCACGACAAAAGAGGTGGGCCCGAAGCCAAAGCAATAGTCCACCCATGAGACAAGACACAATGAAGACATTTGTCACTACCTCGTGGGTACTCAAGGTAAACTAAAGGATTAAGGGACTCAAGGTCAACCGACACACGTTGCTCAAGGGTGAACATAGACAGTGTCAAGATTTCAAACCCTAGTGTCTAGCACCCTACTTGCACAACCAAACCTACCTACTGAATAACATACTCAGCAAAAGGGTAAAGGATTGTCACTTGTGGTGGCTACAAATTCAATGAGCATAGAACAAGCTCGGCATACCATGTTTGTCTTAGATTGGTTGGGGCTAAGCAAATCTAAACCACTAAACACAAGTACCATGGAACGTTTGCAAGGGTCTCCCCTATACAATCTAGGAATATATTGCGCAAAACCCAGATCAAGTTGAAAAGGGCATGGAAAGCCTAAGGAAGAAAATGGATGAGTTACACCGCAATCATTCCCAAAATGGAGATGCTATTACCAAAGGACTTTCACTTGCCTAGTTGAAGATTTAAAGACCAATGTTAAGAGTTTAATGTAATTGCTGATGGTTTACGAATAAGCATGAGGTTTTTTTTAAATGATATGCACATCATTAAATGTTTTGAAAGCTTCGTGTGCCTTTCTTCGGCTTTTGAACTGCATATAGGATTCATCTTTAGGTGCTCCATGCACTGGATTGGCACCCTATGCACCTTCTTTAGCCTTTGCACTTTGTGCATGCCTCATCGTTAGGTGTTCTACGCACTACCTCTGTGCTTCATGAGCCTTCTTTGGCTTTTACACTATGCACAAGCCTAATCTTTAGGTGTTCTACACATTGCCTCTACACCCCGTGCACCTTCTTTGGCCTTTGAGCATCATGCACAAGCCTCAACAATAGATACTCTGCGCACTTTCTTCCTTTCTAGTGTTCCATGCACAAGCCTTATCTTTAGGTCTCCGCACACTGCCTCAACGAAACCCATGTGCCTTCCTTGGCTTTAACGTTTCATGCGCAAACCTCATCTTTAGGTGCTCAACACATTGCCTCAACAACCCCCATGCTTTCTTTGGCCTTAGCACTTTGTGTGCAAGCCTCATCTATAGGTGTTTTGCCTTGCTCGGCGCATGGCACACCATCTTTGGACTTGGCGCTTTGTGCACTAACCTCACCTTTAGGAATTCTACACACCACCTCGCCACACCCGCCTTCTTTGAGCTTAGTGCTTTGCACACAAGCCTCATCTATAAGTGCTACATGCACCACCTCAACACTTTGGCCTAGGAACTTCATGCACATGCATTATCCTTAAGTATTCCACATACTACCTCAGCACCCCAAGCACCTTCGTTAGCCTTAGCGCCTCATGCGTATGCGTCGTCTTTAGGTGCCCCATGCCAACCAACAACAAAAAATAAAAATATTGCCATTAACAAACTTTGGACAAATACATTGTCCAATCTTGCAAGGATGACTTTCTACATGAGATAATAAGCATATGTTGATATGACATAGGAATATGCACTTTGGCTACCCTTTTTTATGCTTTACATCTCCTTGTACTATTTTGATGATGATGAACTAACTTGTGCTTTATAAAAAAAAAAAAATAATAAATAAATAAATAAAAAATAAAAAATAGAGGTGTGAAGCATCAGAGAGGGCCATGCAGCAGCCCAACATCAACCTTTGGCAAGCAACACTAATCACTCATTTGAGGAAGAAGAAGAAGGGTAGTGACAATTGACAAAGAGGGAAAAGGAGAAGAAAAAGAAAGAGACAGAGAGAGAAATCGGTGTAGAAAAGGAAACAAAAAAATAGGAAAAGAAAAGAAGAAAATGGCTGAAAGTGAGGAAACATAAAATTAAAAAATTGGGGAAAAAATGAACACTATGAAGATATCATGAACTTGGACAACACTTGGCGGAATCATGCAACACTAGCAACCTCCTTATGCTAACAATGCCTACAATTGAGGAAGTAGGGAGCTAGTGATGGAATAATAGACTTGTACTAGGCCCAAGTAGCTTGTCACGGCCTGGTCCAAACGCTTTAATCCGATCCAAGGACATTGCAAAATAGTCCGGTCTTGATTGAATTACTTTGAGTCAATCCTCAAGTACTGGCCAATGAGAATTAACTCAAGAGGTGGCGTTGGCCAAGCTTCAAGAACCCGAGCCAACTAGGAGTGAATGGCTGAGGGCGTTAAAGAATACCAATAGAAGTTTCATTGATAATCATAATAAACATGTCTGGATAGTGGGGGAGTACCTCTTAATGACTATAAATAGGATAGTTCAACTAGTGTGGGAGCTATAAGTACACAGATAGCGGGGGCTGATGGCATTAACTCAAGAGGTGGCGTTGGCCAAGCTCCAAGAACCCGAGCCCACTAGGAGTGAATGGCTGAAGGGCGTTAAAGAATACCAATAAAAGTTTCATTGATAATCATAATAGACATGTCTGGATAGTGGGGGAGTACCTCTTAATGACTATAAATAGGATAGTTCAACTACTGTGGGAGCTATAAGTACACAAATAGCATTAGGGATCCAAAACTTGACTATTGTAATGGTACTATAGCAAATTCCTTCACAAATAATGTGGTCTCTTCTCATTATTTTCCACTATTTTCCTTACAACAGAATTGCATACCATCAAAACCCATGGACAACGTTGACAGCAATAGTACTCATCTCCCAATTGTACGAGGGAAAAGACATAAAGAGTGAGTAAAGAAGAAGAAAATTTGTAGCAAAATACCTGGAAGTTCTGTCACAGAGGTGCTACAAGCAAATTTCTTCTGCAGCTCTGAAGCCAATACCTCAGGATCTATCAAAAATGACTCCAACCCAGAAAGCTTAGTCACTTTTTTATTGCCTTGCCTTCTTTCTGTCATGATCTGAATAGGCTTCAAAGCACCTTTCCGAACAGCTGAATCATTACCTCTTGTAACTCTATGATGGGCTTGCATTCGGTTCATAAAAGTTAACCCTAAATCCTTCTTATGAATTTCAGTGGGATAAGTTGATCCCTTTTTTATTGCTCCCTTATATAGAGCGTCACATAAGGTTGCATCAAGAATGACAACAGACCTATCTGTTGGTTTAACAAGTCTTTCTTTCTCAACATACTGGAAAACTATTTCAGAAGTTTCCGATGCAGTGAACAGTTTATCCAAATTCACTCCTACAGCAGCAAAAATTGGATTAACATAGACAGTAGGTTTATAAATTTCAGCTACTTCCAATAGTTTGGATGACTGCTCTTCATTAGAACCATCATTAATGGATTTCCCAGTCTTCTCAGGCTTCTTCTTCTCTGGCGTAAAGCACATGTAATCTGGATGTTTTCGGTTAACTGAAAACAGATTGGCCTCTTTCTTATGCTTATCTTCTTTTACTGTGATCTGTGAGTGCCAAGAGAAGTTCTCATTAGTTACAAATAAGGAACACAACTTTGGATGCAATAATCAAAGAAAATGAGTGTCAACTCATTGATATATTCGGCTTTCAAGCCAGGACAAGGGAAGAATATAGAGAAAATTTAGATTTTTTTTTACTGACAAACAAAACAAATAAATAAATATTAGATTGTACAGGACAGCAAGACAGGTTAGACAGTTCCACTACAACTACTATGGAAACAGGAAAATGCAGGAGCCAAAATGAAGAAGAGATACGCAATTTACAAAATTTAGCACATAAACAAGATAAAAGAGACTGGCAATAAATAGTGGGGGGATGAAAAGCATTTTCATCCCTCAATTATGGCATAATAGTTATTTTGGTCCCCTAGGTGTTTGACTTGTGCATATTGGGTTCTCAATTACCACTCAAAGTTGCCGATTTAGTCCCTCGCCTAAAAAGATCTATTAACTCCGAAAAGAAATTAATAAATCCATATCACTTTAACCGCTCAATGAGGATGCAAAGAAAATTCCATCAATTTATAGTTTTTTAAGCCGTTTGAAGTTAATAGATTCTGTTTGGTGAAAGACTAAATTGACAGCTTTGGGTGATAACTGAAGAGCAAATGTGCCCACATCAAACAACTAGGGACTACAAAGCTATTATGTCATAACTAAAGGGACTAAAAATGCTCATAGCATGAACAACCAGTAGTATAATAAAAATAAACTTAAAAACATCAACAAGGAATTCTTTCATCACAAATGTCACTCTTTTTCTATTTGTTCCTTTTCTTTCCAGAAATACAACAAAGTTAGAGCGATCACATAGTTAAAGGTCTGGATAGTCATACCCATCCTGCAGAAGCTTTAGCTTGTAGCCACTTGGACAGTTTCTTGTAAGAAGACTTCTTTATATCTAATGTTATGCCTGAAGGCCTGCAGGGAAGCACATGACTTGACCTGCATGGAACAAGCAGTCGGACACACCATCAGATGAGTCAAGAGAAAGCTTGAAGTTACAAATACTATAACAGACAAGGCAGTATACATAATAAGTAAATGAGAAGTGCAGTAAACATTTAGGCTCAACATTTAGTTGCAAAAGCTACACCACTCATTTAAATGGAAATAAGAGTAAAGAAGGAAGGTTTTCAATTTTGTTCCAAGGGAGATTTTGGGAAGATGAAAGGACACTTCAGTAACAAGTATCAAGAATGGGGTTTATTGGATCGAAGTACCCACAGTAAGGTCACATATTCTGCTTTTTTTTTTTAAGTTTCAGTTCTTAGTAAGAGCTAAATAATTCTGATAGGAATACTAATCTTCAGAAGTCCTCAACCATTAGCCAAAGAAACCATTGAATTGTTTCATATGTGTCTGATTTACTTCTCCGTAGCCATGTTCCTTTTAACAGTTACACATTATGTGCATGGTCCTGATATGTTCACAAGCTATACTCCTCGTTATGGGCCTATGAGAGACAGAGTTTGAACGATCGGTTTTGTTCTTCCCAATCGTGAAGAAGGGAAAACAGAATGAGAGGAGAGAGTTGGGGAGAAGTTGGAGGAAGAAACTTCCTTTTGATTTTATTCAATTTCCAACTTACTAAGGCAATCTAATACTCTCCCTATATATAGGAGTTAAAAGCTTAAGACATAAGGAAACAATATTCTAAAATATGGTTACTTAAAGTAAAAAGGCAACTACTAATAAACTAGGAAATAAGATAACTAAATTGATTTTAGCAGATTGGCAGCCCAGGATCTGTATTGTATCAGGTCCCTACCTACTGAAAAGCCAATCAAGATCATGATGCATCTGCATTAACAACACAAATTATTAGGGCTCCTCTATCTATTAGTTCAGAATGAACTGGCATACAAGTAAGACTAAACTATAGCTTCTAATTTTGGGTGTTCCTTTTCTCTTCATAGGGAGGGAGGAGATGAACTCCTCACCTCAAGATCAGGAGGCCTCCCTTGGCAATGGCAACTTAACCCAAGGGTCACTGACAATGTGGTAGCTTCCTTGAGACAACTTATGAATTATGCCAGATACCATACAAAGTCAAAGTTCAACCGAAACTATCAATTCCCAACCAATTACTATGCTTCATATGGGAAATTTTGATAACCGCACTAAATCATACCATAATGTACTTCCAGGCATAGGAAGGTCCTTCTCCTTGACAGTGGTATGCAGAGCTTGCAATAGGCATTTGTCTAGTAGTACATCTATGTCTGCAGCTGATAGGGGATGTTGATCATCTGATTTCAATTCATCTGCGGAGACATTCTCTATCACCTTCAAGCCAACCATATCATCAGCTAGTTGTTCAGTCTCTTCATTTGTAACATCAGATTGTATTTTCGGAGCATGACCACTACTAGAGGAAGTGGCTTCGACTTCCACAGCATCTGCAGCTCCTTCATTATCAATGGAATTTACTTTTTCCACTGAATCATCACCTTCATGTGATCCAGAGGCCTCATAAGTAGATATGAAAGCAGGATCCTCAAAAACAACATCTTCGTAAAAGCCAGCATTTGGCACATATGGATTTTCAGTTGCTTCCCTGAAAAAGAGATTACATCAATGCTAAATTTCCTAGAACACTTTTATTTGATACATTTCCTAGAAAACATACCAAAGTGTATCTCGATAGTAATGATTTATTCTTAAAGCTTTTCCACGCAAGCCAGCTTTTAAAGCTTCAGTGCTGCTCATGGTAGTAGTCCCGACCTATAAAGACAAACAAAAATGCATTAAAGCAACAAATTAATCATCATATTAAGAAATCCTAATATCTAGATGGACAAACTTTTAGAAGCTTACAGCTATAGGGGCAGGATTTCCAGGAACTAACACTGCCCATGCCTCCCCAGCTGAGAATAATGGCAACCCTTCAGCAGGAACATAGATGCCAGGGAACATCAAGTCTGCACCCCCAATCACAAAACGAGAAACTTCACCTCCCTTAAGCACAAAAGCAGGCAAAAGTCCTGGGACCTTCCACAGAGCATAAACTTCCATGACCAGAGAAAAGACAAAAGGCATTAATGAATGTCAAGACAAGTTAAAATAAAGTCCGGAAAACTAAAAAAAGGAATTAAAAGAATACTTCCTAACATATTTCCAGCATAGAGAAGTAACACAGAAATGCCAGCAAAAAATCAGACTGAAAGTCTCTAGCAATTCAGACTCACCTAGCAAAGCACCAAATGCACCAATGGTACCCCCAAATCAATGAAGTTTTAGAACTAAGAAAATTTAAATTAGAAGAAAAATTGTATATGTTTGTTTTACATTAGGGTTATGGGGAATAAGACTAAAGTATGCTTTTCATTTAAGAAAACTTGCAAAGTTTCAATGTTTCATTTCCTGTCTAAATCCAATTATTCCTAAAAATACTAGTTACTACACATGAAAGTCATTGAGTGGAAAGGCACCCGTCAAGCCTCCAGCGACCACTCTGCAAGGTTTTTTTTCCTTTTCTTTTCTCTTCTTTTCTGCTACTTTTTATATTTGTTCCATTTTTTTTGTGATCTCCTTTCTTTCCTTCTACTGGCCAGACTGCACCACACAGTACTTCTGTTTTTTTTACTACTTTTTCATTCGTTTAAGTTTCTTACTAGTTTAACAAAATACAACCTACTAGTTTAAAACTTTATTAGTTTATTATAATTAAACCCATAAAAAATTGTTCTTAAGAGTTAAGATGACACTTATCTCTAATTCTTATTCTTTTTTTTTCTACTTTCAGCATCTATTCCTTTGCAACTATTGGGGTCTTGTTAATTGCCATCCACGAGTTTCAAAACTATCAATTTAGTAGCTCAACTATTCAATTTTTCTCAATTTCAATCTGACCAAAATGCCGCTCACTAGAAAGTTTAAATTGACGATATTATGTTTAATCACAAGGGCAATTTCGTCTTTCCATGTTAATGCGAAAAAGGGAAAGTTGATTTTAGCCTATTCCTCGTCTCACGGAAGGTGCGCTTTCACCAGAAAATGTGCCACCCTCGTCAAAGAACCACATGCCAGGTTCTACACCACGCTCATCTGCAGGTGTGAATACAGTGATTCTTAAATAAAAAGAAGAAATTATTTTTCCTTCTTTTATTCTTTCTTTTTCTTTCTAAGCGATCGCCCATCGGAGATTCAAGAACTCCGACATCCGAGAAGGAAGAGAAGCCCAGGGCATCCCATCACCATCAATTGATGCGTGAATGAATCATGGTAGTCAAAGTAAAACGACGATGTTCTTCTTTTATTCTTTCTTTTTCTTTCTAAGCAATCGCCCATCGGAGATTCAAGAACTCCGACGTCCAAGAAGGAAGAGAAGCCCAGGGCATCTATATAATATAGTATTTTTTTTTTCTTTCTTTTTTTAAGCTTCCATTTTTCTTCAATATTTACTCTTAATTCTATTCTCGGAGACACCATTAATGTTACATTGAAAAGATCAGAAACTTTGTTTAATGAAGAACATCGTCGTTTTACTTTGAAGACCATGATTCATTCACGCATCAATTGATGGTGATGGGTCTTGTTTTCCAGATCTCATTCCACTGTCCACATCAGTAATTTTCAAGAAATAAAAATAAAAAAATTGAAGTATTAAATAAGCACCATGAATGTTCATTTTTATTTTTATTGGTCCATGGAAATCTAAGACATGGATTTCGGAGTTGAAATGTTGCGTGAAGTTTGATTTGAGATGAATTTAGGGGTAAACAATAGATGATTCCCCACAGCAATGAAAGCATGATGACTTGGATAAGAATTAAGAAAACGGAGGGTAGGAGAGATGAAAGAGAAAAGTTCCCAAGATTCCATTTAGCCGCAGCCTGACCGAATTAGGAAGAGGCAAAAATTAGCTTTCCCTTTTTATTTGCATAAACATGGAAAGACGAAATTGCCCTTGTGATTAAACATAGTGTGGTCAATTAAAATTTTTCAGACGACAATTTGGCCGGAGTGACTGAAATTGAGAAAATTTGAATAGTTAATATACTAAATTGATAGTTTTGAAACTCGTGCAATTAACAAGACTCCAATAGTCATAGGACTATGTTAAATGATATAAAAGAACGAAAGCATTCATATTATTCAGTCTAGAGCTGTACAGGTACAAACTATTTATATAGGAATAAGCTATAACCTAATGGGCTCATTCCTAACAAGCCTAGGGTTTCAACACTCCCCTCAAGCTAGAGAGTATAAATCATATGCTCCAAGCTTATTACAAATATACCCAACTCTAGGAGCTCTAAGGAATTTTGTCAAGATATCAGCTAATTGATCTGCAGAATTGACAAAGCAGGTTTTGATGCACCCTAACACAATATTTTCTCTGATGAAGGGGCAATCAACCTCGTTGTGTTTAGCCCTCTCATGATAAACTGGATTTAAGGCGATGTGTAAAGCTGCTTGATTGTCACATATCAGTGTCATTTGTTTGCAACTCTTGTAGTAAGTACTTCAGCCACATAAGTTCACATGTCGCGAGGGCCATGGCCCGATTTCAACTTCAGCACTGGACCTAGCAACAACATCCTGCTTCTTACTTTTTCAAGATATAAGATTACCACCGATGAGTACACAATAACCCGAAGTAGAGCGTCTGTCAAATTGACAACCAGCCCAATCTGCATCAGAATACCCAACAACCTAAGCATGTCCTCCATCTTCATATAATAAACCTTGTCCTGGTGCTCTGTTGATATACCTTAGAACACGAACAGCAACATCCCTATGAGTATCACAATGATTCTCAAGAAACTGACTCAACACACTAACTGCAAAAGAGATATATGGTCGTGTGATTGTGAGATAATTCAATTTTCCAATTAATCTCCTATATCGTTCTCGGTCATGCAATGGCTCCCCTTGTCCTGGTAAGAGTTTAACATTCGGATCCATGGAATTATCCACCGGTCTACAATCCAACGTGCCAGTTTCTTCTAAAATATCCAAAGCATACTTTCTTTGAGAAATGACAATACCACTGGTAGACTGGGCCACTTCAATTCAGAGAAAAATATTTCAGCTTGCCCAAATCCTTGGTCTGAAATCAACTGAAGAGATACTCTTTCAACTGAGATATGCCCTCTTGATCACTCCCTGTAATAACAATGTCATCCACATATACTACAAGGTATATGCATTTCCCATTAGAATGACGATAGAAAACATAATGATAAACTTCACTTCTAGTCATACCAAACTCACACATCACAGAGCTAATCTTCCAAACCAAGCCTGTGAAGACTACTTCAAACCATATAAGAAACGACGAAGTTTACATACTAGACCTGGATCCAAGAGGGCCTCACGAGTGGATTTAGGTATAGACACAGAAGACAGGTGAGAAAGGAAGGCAAAGTAAGGGGAAGATACACGATGATAACTCAAAAAGGTATATATAGGATGAGGGTTACGAGTAGAACGTGTACCTTTCCGAATAGCAATGGGTGCCTCTGTGAGATCAGTATCAGATTGTAGTTGAAGTGGTGGAACCGCAGTCGAAGGATCGGGTGGCATGGGTGAGTCAACAGGAGCCTCAACAGACACAGGGCGTGGATGGCGTTGGTAGACTTGAACGGGGCGGTCAAGAGCAGTAGAAGCTGCTGGAGGAATACGAGTAGTTGGAGGAACAGGATCCTCAATCCTGGGCCAAAGGAAGTAGACCAAGATAAGGAAGAGGGAAAACCTTTGAAATTGAGACTGTGTCACCCGGTGAGGGCTGGAAAAAAGGAGTAGACTCAATAAAAGTGACATTAACAGACACAAAACGACGCTTAAGTTCTGGAGAATAACACCTATAACCCTTTTGGAGCCGGGAATAACCCAAGAAAATACACTTGACAGCTTTACGAGCCAATTTCGAACGCCCAGGAGTCATGTCATGAACAAAACAAATACACCCAAAAACCCGAGGTAGAAGAGGGAAAAGATCAACCGAAGGATACACAATGGAATATGGCATTTCATTGTTTAGTACTGAGGATGGCATGCGATTTATCAAGTAACACGCAGTAAGGATAACATCAGCCCAAAAATGATTAGGAACATGAGAATGAACTAACATAGTGCGATCAATTTCCACTAAATGTCGATTCTTACGCTCAGCCACCCCATTCTGCTGAGGTGTGTAAGGAACAACCAAGTACACCTAGAATAATCATTCGTAAAAGTGACAAAGTAACGAAACCCCAAAGCAGAATTGACACGACATGGACCCCAAAAATCAGTATGAACTAAATCAAAAAGAGACGCAGCCCGATTATTGACTCTCCGAGGAAAGGACTTACGTAATTACTTTCCAAGGTGACACGACTCACAATCTAATGACTCTATAAACAGACGCGAAACCATCCGTCGAAGTTTGGAGGACTAGGGTGGCCCAAACGACTATGGAGAAACAGGTGAGAAACTGTGGAAGCACAAGCAACAAGATCACCACCACGAAAGTAATAGAGGCCTTGTCACTCAATCTCAGTGCCAATCACCTTCTCCGTACTACGATCCTGCACAACAACCGAATCAGCACAAAAGGTTACGAAGCAATTAAGAGTACGAGTGATTTTACTCACAGAGATAAGGTTGAAAGGACTATTAGAAACATATAAAACTGACTCTAAGGGGAAAGATGGCATAGGATGAACCTGACCAACACCGGCAGCTGGTGTTTGATGACTATTAGCTAAGGTAACCATGGGCAAAGCCTTAGACTTTGTGACATTAGTCATAAGGGATAGGTTACCAGAGATATGATATGATGTCCCAGTGTCTAGAATCCAATTACATGCGGTACTAGCTTGAGAGACATAACAGAGAGGAGGTACCAACAGTGAGAGATGAAGCCATAATATTATTCAAAAGGAAAGGAAAAAACTGCATCAAGGGATGGTTTACCAATGTTGACCGTTGACGTTAACCAGGCGAGATGAGGGAAAGGAAAACGCAGCCAGATGCGTCCCTTCAAGACGATTCCAATGGTGGCAACGACATCTTGATCGGAGACCTGAGGAAAGAGATCTGGCCGGAAAACAGTGGAGACTTCCGGCAACGGCGGTGGCGCCTAGAGGCGCGTGCGGCGACGGACGACGACCGGACTTCTGGCCTAGGCCCGCGACGAGGATCCGGGAAGGCCTGTGGTGTTGGTTTGGGAGAAAAACCACTAAGCACACGTCGGAACAGAGAAACAATCGCGGCAATTGTGGCACTCTAGGGGCAGGCGGTGGGAAACAAAAGGTTTATTTAGAGTTTAGGCTCTGATACCAAGTTAAATGATGTAAAACAACGAAAGCATTCATATTATTCAGGGTTGGAGAGCCTAAAACAAAGTTGTCTAGAACGACTTTGTTTTTAATGATGATATCACACTTGATTGGGCCACTATATGAGGCTTTAAGGGTTGGAGAGCCTAAAACATTTACTTGGTGTTTAACGGGGAAAAGAAAATAACCACCAAGTGGTGTTAGAGCTAGAGCTGCCAAAACTTAAACTTCTAAGAAAGTTATAGCTACAACTTCAACCTCAAGAGGGACAGAGAAAGTGGTTGAAGATGATGAAGAATTGGAATTTGAGGAGAATTATGAAGAAGAACCATTGTTTAATTTTGAGGTTGAGGAATCTAAAGTAGAAGAAGAGGGATATGCCTCACTTGATGACAAAGAAGAAGATGATTATGTTAGGGTTGACGAAGAGGATTAGATAGTTAATGACAATTTATCTATTTAGTTTATGGTTCTTTGCTTATATTGAAACTTATGTCATTAAGTTTTTAACTTTTTTTAATCAATTTCTACAAATATTAACCTCGGTGTGTGTGTATAAAACATGTTTTTATTTCTCTCTACCATGCGTTACAAAAGTAGGGGGCTAAGGAGGAAATAAAACCCAGGGGACAATGGATATCAATTCTTTCATTCCCTTGGTATTTGTTTCTAATAATCTGATTGTTTAACACTTGAAAACAAAAACCAAACACCATTTGACATTTGGTTCGGATTGATTGCTTCAAAAGTAGTGCACCAAACACCCCCTCTCTAATATCAACAACATTTAATTATATTGTCAATTGATCCTAGCTATGAAGAAAGACAATATGATAAATATATAGATATTCCTTGTAAATCTCTTGGAGACCTTTAGTTTATCTAAATGTCTTTGGCTTATTTGTATAAGCCTATAAATATTAGGCTCCCTTGTAATCTCTCTTTTCTTCTAATATGGCCATTCCCTCCACCTTATCAGCAAGTTGAGGCACTAGCCACCTGCTTAGACCACTCAATGCCTCATTGCCTCAATTTATTACTCCATATTAGTTAAGACTCACCTTGCTCACAAAAAGAAAGGAAAAGGAAACTAAAAGAGAGTGCAAAAATCTCTTCCGAATACTACTCAACTATATAAATGATAGAAAAAGATATGCAAGTTGAGAACAAATAGCCTAAACTATGAATCTCCAACTAGTTCCTTATAGAAACACAAACTGACAAGTATGATAGACCCAATCCTTTCAATAATGATTTCAAGTAGAAAAAGATGGAAAGCAAAGGAAAAGCAAAAGATATGCAAGATCTTCGTAACAGAGCTTGTAAGCCTTTCAAGTTTCCACTTGATGAGTGTGTCCTCTAAAATCAATTAGATTTGTCTTAACCACTACAAAGAGATGAATGTCAAGTACTCATATAGTCACATTACAGCTAATATGCAACTTTATGAAAACAAAAAGAGGTAGTATTTTTTTAAAGAATAAAGAGTTGCTAGATGAATGATGAATTATACCTGTGGGGAATATTTCATTGCCTCTCCCATCAATATCAAAAAACAAAGGGCAATCACCCTCCAAACCATATACGAGAATACGATTTGGATATTTTGAAACTGTGAACTCTGCCTACAATAACCCATCATCAATGGAATTATAACAAAGTAGAACCAGCCAACTACCATATACAGTATCAATTACCAGATATTATTAGGCTATTAGCAACATATGAAAGGCTCACAGGTGGGGTTCTTAAGCAAATCTAAGTATTTTTTAGCTTGAGGAGAAATTTGCAATTCAGCAAAAATTCAAAGAAAATACCAGATGATCTTGGAAAGTAACAAACTAATTGTAATAGAAGCACCAGGGCAACAACCGTTTTCCCCTGGAACACAAGGTGGGAAAAGGAGCATTCTGTCCTCACCCAGGTTCTGCTTTGATTCAAGTGTCCTTCAATCATTTCCATTTTGATTGCAAATGCTTTTTAACTCATCACCATTGGAGATGATATGAAGCCAAATAAAACTATATAAGTGAAAAATTATAAATGAATGATTCTACTCCAATAAGCTCTAGCATCCAACATTACAGCCAACCACCCGTAATGGTGTGCCAGAAAAATCAATACCATAAGCCAAGTATAGAGGCTCTGGGCAAGATGTATGGAAGTTGTATTTGGAATATATGGTGACATTAAGGTCAATACATAACACTCCCTTTTTTTTTTTACTTTCTTTCCCATTTCAACTAAAAATTTAAAAATAATACTCCGTAGCAGCACGAATGCCTGGTGTACAACTACAAGAGTTCACTTTGTGAAAAAATAAATTCAAATAAAAATCACTGTTGGCTTGAGCATTTGGCACTAGGGAAAAATTGATTCCAATACTTGCAAATACTCCCAAAATTTACAAATCTCTCAATAACAAAAACTACATATTTCGATGAAAAATTATCAATGAGGTACAAAGGAACAAATATATCAAAATCGATATAGAAAATCAAGCGATTGCACACACAGTCAATGCGAACTTTAATACCTTAGGAGGAAGTAAAGTATCAATATCAGCATCGGATGCATTGGGGAAACGCTCTCTGATGGTCCGCCGGAGCTTCTTCCGGTCTGCGCCGGAAAGTCGTTGCTGCGACTTCGCCTCGACCGTCTTCTTGAACATCTCTTCCTTCTGTAGAGTGGCGGATATGATATTTCAGTTTCGAGTGAGAGATTCTTGGAGGGTTTAGAAAGATGAAGGAAAATGAAGAAGTTTCCAGAATGGAATATGACGGTCAGGGAAATTACGGAAAGTAATACATGACCCTGTGATGTTTTTTAGAAAACTGAAATATACTTGAATTTCTCTGTTTCCCATTTTGTGTTTCCTTTTTCTACCCTTCTTTTCATTTTTCTTCTTTCGTTAAAAACGAAAAAATTTTACTTTTTGTCCCTTAACTTTTGTACATGTATAAAATTAATAAAACAATCTCAAATGTTCATATGCTTTGATCTAGAGTAAGGAGGAGAAAAATAAGGTGACATTTTGGTGGGGCAAATTATACTATGGATCGCGTTCCACAATGTATTATGATTCAGACATCAAATATATACTGCAGTTTCATTTTAATACAGTTACAATATCATTTTGATATAACTACAGTTTCGATGGATAATATACACTCAAATATGTGAAATTGTTATTCAGTTTAATTTTGTATATACTGCAATCTCATTTCAACACAACTATAGTTTCATTTCATTTCAATTCAATTGCAGTTTCATTTGATAATATAATAAAAATAATACGTGAGACAGTGTCAATTTAGATATACTATAGTATCTACCGTTTTGGATCATGGATTGCGGTGCACAGTATAATTGTTGATTTTGGTGTGTGCGCGCGTGTATAGTTGAAAAAATAAGATATTTGAGGGAAAATATAGAAAAATGGAGAAAAATTTAAGATTTTATGAGAGGAAGAATGTTGTAGTGAAGAAATCGAGAGAAATTGTTAGATGGAATGAAAGTACCATATGTGTTATGTGTTTCTTCTAACTTTTTGGGGGGGGTGTTAATTCCCGACAAATTATGCCCTGGAAACGTGTTCACCGAGAATGGTGAACACAATGCTAAACGACGTCGTTTTTAGGCAAAAAAAAAAAAAAAATCGTGGATGTGGAGTTAACGGCGCGCGTTGATCAAATTATGAATTTTCTTTTATGAGATTATGAATTTTCATAAAATTCATAATCTCATAACAGAAAATTCGTAATCGCATAACAGAAAATTCATAATCTCATAACAGAAATCTCATAACTGAAAATTCATAATCTTATAACAGAAAATTCATAATCTCATGGTTCCAAAGTGAATGTGTAGGCATGGTTCCAAAGTGAATGTGCAGGCATGAATTTTCATAATTTATGAATGTCTGTGATTTCGGACGGGAATGTGTAGGCATGGTTCCAAAGTGAATGTGCAGACATGAATTCATAATTTATGAATGTCCGAAATCATTGTTCACCTCAAATTAAAGTGAAATCGCAAAAATTCATAATCGCATAACAGAAAATTCATAATCGCATAACAGAAAATTCATAATCTCATAACTGAAAATTCATAATCTCATAACTGAAAATTCATAATCTTATAACAGAAAATTCATAATCTCATGGTTCCAAAGTGAATGTGTAGGCATGGTTCCAAAGTGAATGTGCAGGCATGGATTCATAATTTATTAATGTCCGTGATTTCGGACGGGAATGTGTAGACATGGTTCCAAAGTGAATGTGCAGGCATGAATTCATAATTTATAAATGTCTGAAATCATTGTTCACCTCAAATTAGAGTGAAACCGCAAAATGTGAAAATGAAGAAGAAAAGTCACGCAATTAATTAAAAAAAAAAAAAAAAAAAAAAAAAAAAAAAAAAAAAAAAAAAAAGATAACAGTGTACTAACACCGTTGGAACCGTGTTCATCATGAATGGTGAACACGGTTCCATGACATAACGCTCCGTTAATTCCCTCGCTCACCCTCTTATTTATGTTATAATAAAATTAAAATTATATAAAAAATAAAAATATCTCTTATTTGGACTATTAATATTTTTTTTATGCGCGATGTGTAAAAAATAGGTGCTCAATATTAATACATTATATTAAAATTTTAAATTTATTTAAATTTTAGATATTTAAATTATTCTAAATAATAATAATAATAATAATGTAAATCATTTTTTTAAATTTGATATTTATATTTTATGTAATAATTAACATATAACTCAAATATATAATGTTTATATATTATTATTAATGAAGAAGATAATAAAATATATGGTGAATGCATGTGCATGGTAATAATAGTGGAAAAGATAACGGAAGTTATAACGGTAGTCGGTAGAGGTATGTTTGTCCAAAATATTTTAATGTACAACCTTTATAGCATAATGTACAAAAATACTTAACGAAAAAAACGGACATAAATCATGGGTATAACTTTCATTCACACTTATTATGTTTTGGAATAAGGTTCAAATTGGCCACTGAACGTAACCTGAAAATGCAATTAGGCCACTGAACGAACAAAAAGTGCAATTAGGCCACTGAACACTCCAAAAACATGCAATTAGGCCACTGAACTCTCCAAACGTATGCAATTTCACCAGATAGCAGGTTACCATCAATTTTAGCAGGTTACTTGCTTACGTGGCAGCTGAGTTGGCATTTTTAATAATTTTTAAATAATTTTTAATAATTAATTTTAATAATAAATTTTATAAAAAAAATTGAAAAAAATTAAATAAAAAATAAAATAAAGTCGTTTTTATTTTTTTAAATTTTTTTTAAATAAAAATTTATTATAAAAATTTATTAAAAATGATTTAAAATTCATTAAAAATGCCAACTCAGCTTCCACGTAAGCAGATAACCTGCTAAAATTGAGGGTAACCTGCTATCAGGTGAAATTGCACATTTTTGGAGTGTTCAGTGGCCTAATTGCACTTTTTTTCGTTCAGTGACCTAATTGCATTTTCAGGTTACGTTCAGTGGCCAATTTGAACCTTATTCCTTATGTTTTTAGATAACGGATATCTTCATCAGTAATAAATAACTAAATATGATAATGCCAATAGTTATGAGTTGGGGTTAAAACTTAAATAAAGTGATTTTTTTTTCTTTAATGCATTTTATTGAGATTAATTCGCCCCAATCCAACATATCTGAGTTTATCCTCCGTATTATTAGCTAAATGCAAAATGATGATGATGATGACGATGACGATGACGATGACGATGACGATGACAATGACAATGACGATGACGATGACGATGACAATGACAATGACGATGACGATGACGATGACGATGACGATGATGATGATGATGATGATGATGGTATATCAAGTTCGATGGGGTAATTTCTTCATTTGATTTTGTTGAAAGTCCCCTAGATTATTGTATATACCAGAAGCTGAGTATGAGTCAAAATAATAATAATAATAATAATAATAATAATAATAATAATAATAATAATAATAATAATAATAATAATAATAATAATAATAATAATAATAATAATAATAATAATAATAATGATGATGATGATGATGGTATATCAAGTTCGATGGGATATTTTCTTCATTTGATTTTGTTGAAAGTCCCCTAGATTATTGTATATACCAGAAGGTGAGTATGAGTCAAATATGTTTTCTTGTTTTATATGCGGATGACATCTTACTGTCTACCAATGACAAAGAAAATAGAAATACATCATGATGTGAAACCATTATTTTTCTAAGAACTTTGATATGAAGAATATGAGTGATGCATCTTATGTTATTGGGATTAAGATTCATAGAGATAGATCTCATGGTATACTGGGTATGTCTCAAGAAACCTATATAAACAAAGTTTTGGAGAGATTTAAGATGTAGAATTCTTCACCAAATCTTGCCCCTATAGCAAAAGGAGACAAATTCAGTTTGGACCAATGTTTGAAGAATGATTTGGAGAAAGAATCCATGAAGAACATTCCTTATGGTGTAGTGGTTGGTGTATTGGATATATTAAAGTTTGTACAAGGCCATACATTGCTTTTGAGGTCAGGATACTAGGACAGTACCAGTAGAATCTAAGTTTAGACTACTAGAGAGTTGTGAAGAGGGTTCTAAGGTATCTAAAAGGAACCAAAGGCTACATAATTGGGTTTAGACAAACAAACATCTTAGATGTTGTTGGACAATATTCTGATGCTGACTTCGTTGGTTGTTAATTCTTGAAAATCAAATTTAGGGTACGTATTTATCATGGCCAGTGGGGCTATCTCATGGAGAAGTGTTAAACATCCCTTAATAAATACTTCTACCATGGAAACTGAGTTCATTTCTTATTTCGAGACTACTTCACAAGGTGTATGACTCTAGAATTTCATCTCTGGGCTTAGAGTTATGGACTCTATATCTAAGCCACTGAAAGTCTATATACTGTGACAACTCAATTATATTGCAGACTTCCTAGCTAAGAACAACAAAAGTGATAGTCGAAGTAAGCAAATCGACATCAAGTTCTTAGCCATTAGGGGCGTGTTAAAGACAAAACTGTGGTCGTTGAGAACATTAGTACTGAGTTGATGTTACCAGATCCCTTGACTAAAGGCATGCCTCCATTTAAATTTAAGGATCTAGTTGAAAAAATGGGACTTTCACTCACTTTGTTATCTGTATTTACATTAAGTTTTAATGAAATTCTTTTACATTTAGGCATTTTTTTCTCATTTAAGTGTGTACACTTTATTTTGATTTATATCATTTAGAAAATGTACTTCAGTTAGAGTAGAGATGAATGTATGATTTGTTTCATTAAGCTTTGTTCCCTAATTAAGTGCTCATAGGAAGTTTGCATTTGATTATAATTGATACTACTTGTTTTAAGAGGACATATCGTTATGGTTGGTGTTTTTTTGTTCTTGGGTAATGGGTATGGTGGTTGGTGAAAGAATGTAACATTTTCCTATTAATTATTATTATAACATCCGTGTTACAAGTTATTATAATATTTAAGTGTTTGTTATTTGGTGCAACACTTATAATGATAAGAAGTCTAGTTAAGGTTTAAGTAGTGGCGGAGCCACAGTGGGGGTAGCTACCCCCACTGCCCCACCACATGTCCACATATATATTGTATATACCAAAGTTTTAACATAGATTAATTTAGCTTAGATAGTTAGGCCTTTACTTGTATAGAGTATGAAATGGTCCAAGGTTTGAATCCCTGGTTACTTATTTTTGTTTTTGATTTTTTAAATATCAATGGTAAGAATTCTTAGCTCG